GGGTGGCTTGTGGTTATCTTCGGGTTTCTTCTTAGTCTTGGGTTTGTCCTCGACGATCTCAATRCTCTGGATGGCCTTTCCACCTTTGCAACAAAGTGTGTCCCTTAACTTGTCAGGATTGCAGCATACGACGGTGATCCTGACCTTATTTTTGTCATGATCAAACACTTGATCTCTAATTTCTACAAGAAAGGCAGCAGATGGATGTGAAGATAAAGATGGAAAAAGGAATCATGATGTATAATTGATTTAGAAAGAAACCCAAATGGAATTAAGAGAGAGAAAGAGAAAAAGAAGGGAACTGACGAGGGAACTTGCAGAGCAGTTTCTTGACCTTCTTGTAGCAGCAGGAGCATTTGAGGTCAACATTCAAAATCATGACAGTAACCTGTAATACATAAGAAAAAGAAAAGCAGTGACTGTATATGTATAATAATTGAGACAAGAAGAAGAAGAAGAAAGAGAGAGAGCAATTGAAGAAACCTTGTCAGGAGCCATGATGAATATCAAGTGAAGTGATGAGAGAAGAAGAAGAAAAAGAAGAGTTGTTGTTTTTTAGGAAATAAGAATGTAGTTAGGAAAGAGGAGTATAATATTATATTATTGATAATGAAAGAAAGAAGCCGATGTGAAATGATTGAAGAATTGTGAAGGAAGGAAGGAAGGAAGGAAGGTAGGAAGGTAGGAAGGAAGGATTGGTGAGGTTCTCCAAACCACCCAACGAAAATCTAAATAAAGACACACATCAGATTGAATCAGATTCACCTGTTTCATTGCCCCATCCATCTTAACCACCCTACTACACCTTGTCTTATTCATTTCCTTTTAAAATTAAATCTCGACTAACAACACACACACACACACACATATATATATATATATGATCACAAGTGTTTCTTTCTATATATATATATAAAAGTATAAAAGTATAATTGTTGTGAATTGTCCTTTTGATTAATTGTAATGGTTGTGATTGGAAAAAATAGATAATAATACTTGATTAGATAATGAATTGCACATGGCTGCGACTCTTGCGCCATAAACAAAGCTACTTATGGTGGTGGTCTATTGGAGAAATTAAAACAAACGAGCTAACCACATGTGTTTATTACTAATTACTAATTACTAATTACTAATTACTAATTACTAATTACTAATTACTAATGTAATGATGCTGATAACTAAAGAGTTGAGGAGGAGGGTATATATGAGGTTCTGTGATTGGTGTGTAATATAATTATGAAGGGATGGTACTGTACTGGATGGATGCCAGCAGGTTGGTGTTGATGTATATTGAAAGCTTCTTCAATTCCTTTTGGGAATAACCTTTATAACATGGTACGTGACCACCACTTTAATTATATTTACTTTATCAACCTCCATCTCCCTAAGTAACTGATTCCTCCCCCCATTTTCCATTTTCCATTTTCCTTTTTTCTTTTTCTAGACAACCACTGCACCTCCTTATTAATTTCTCATTTTTAACCATACATCTTCAAACTCTTTCTTCTCTTTTATATACATACCACTCCAAATATACCTAAATAATGAAGGCTTACTACGGTTGTATAAGGAAAATGAAACAAAAAAAAAAAAAAAAAAGGCAATACACAATCTTGTGTTGATTGTATAAGCGACATGGTGTTCATAGGCAGGGAGTGTATGTTATTTGTGATTGTGTTAGTAGCCGAGTCTTTAAGTAGAGGTGAACTTGTAACATCACTGTCATCACATACCAACCGTACCAAATATTGTCTACTTTGTCCACACATCCCAACTCACGGTTTTAAAACACGTCTGATAAATGAGGTCTTAACCTTTGTTCCCCTCTCCAACCAATATGGGATCTTACAGAACGAGAGGTTGGAGCAATGAAGGTTTGTTTTTCAATCACAAGGCTTCTGCATTAGTTGTTCTGAGATTGAATACATATGATGTAATTTTAGTAGAGAGGGTATCAAAGAGGGGTGGAAGTCAACATTAGGGGCATAGTGTACGCCAAAAGGATAGTTTCAAGTATTTGAGATCCATGGTTCAAAAGGGGATGGGGTGGGACACCGTAACGCATCGCATAAAGACGAGGTGGCTAAAGTGAAGGTCCCCCATGGGAGGGCTAGCTATGTGACAAGAATGTTCTGCTAAAATTAAAGGAAGGTTTTGATAGGGTAGCGTTAAATCAACTATGTTGTATGGGTTGGAGTGTTGTGAAACAAAGAAAGGGCATGTGAGGAAGTTGGAGGTTGCAAAAATGAGAATGCTTAGATGTATTAGAGATTAGGAAGAATGATTTCCTTCATTGATTAAACATAATACAAATGTTTAAATATACAACATAAGGGCCACGGGCTAATAAACTAAGCCTAATAACAATACATTATAAACATACAATGTGATATGCTAACATCCCCCCGCATAATTGCGAACATTCAAACTGGATTTGAAATCCGAAAATAGAGGTTGAGATAGCCCTTCGTGAAAATGTCTGTGTACTGAGAGCTCGAGGGGACATGGAGGATCCGAACGTGACCAATGGCAACTTTGTCACGAACAAAGTGAATATCAATCTCTATAATTTAAAATAACTTATATAAACGGGAAAAAAAATCATCGTTTCCCTGTTGGAGATGGAGATGAGGATGTGATTATATTCCCCGGCGGGGATGGGGACGGGGACGAGGATAGAAATAAGTAGCCGGGGACATGGATTGAGGTCCCATGCCTATAAGAAATGCATGGTGTAAACAATTGAAAATGGTCCAACATTATGTTTAACATTGTTACAAACTTCAAAAATTTAATTTTGGGGTCATTTTTTATGGTTATTTCTAGCTAGACACTAAAAACCTCGGAATCCCCCTTCCTTGGAATGGAGTATACGGCTACTTGACTCGATTATATAGTTTGGTTTATTATTAAATATATATAATTGTTTTAGAGAAAGGAAACAAAGTTGTTACCTTTACACTTTGGAATAATTAAGTCTATTGTGATTGGAAATAATTTCAGAATCTTGTTATAAAGAGCTAGAAACATGAATTTGATTTGAACTCAAATCCTATATTTTTCTTTATCAATTGTTCTTTTTTATCTTATTTTTATAAAACTCTGGAGCTACCATTTTAATAAAATAGATCAGGATCCTTTTAATAATACGTATATTAACGAAATTGAAGTTTATATCAATTCTGTTAATTTACAAATACAACATTTACAAATCTTGTGGAACAACTTGCCATGGGAATATACCTCAAGTCAAGGCATGCGGATTTTCCTTATCAGTGGCTTACCCTACCGATGCATGCTCGATACTACATGAGGAAGAGGAGCAAGTGAACGCCTTAGGTGGTGGCAACTTTCAAAATTCACAACCGGGCTCCCAATCCTTTCTCGAGCATATACAACCCCATTTGGAGGCAACATCCAAATATGAGTTATGCCCCCAAAGCAGAGACAAAGTCAAGGTCAACAGTTTCAGCCGAAAAGCTCCATTCCAACACCCCTAACAATTTCAACAAGCTCAAAATTTCTAAGCACCACCTAGATTTCAGCAACAGTCTCAACAACAATTCCAACCGAAGGCACCATTTCAGCTCAGTGCCCAACAACAACATCAAGTTCCACCTCAAGTTCCTAGTAGCTCAGGTATGTCATTAGAAGATGTGGTTAAGTCTATGGATGCTAATATGGCTTAATTTCAATGGGAAAATCAGGCAGTTATTCAGAATACTAAAGAAAGCATACAAAACCTTCATGCCACCATTAGCCAATTGGTGAACAAAGGCAAGTTGCTTTCTCAAACGGAGACCAATCCGAAGGCAAATGCGAATGCCATCTCTTTAAGGAGCGGAAAAGAGCTCCAAGATAGTGGCAAGAAAAAGAAAGACAAAATTCATAATGAAGATGAGGAGTTAGAAGTCAAGGCATCCACTTCGGGTGAAAATGATGTCAAAGATGAGGAGACAAAGAAGAAGACACCTGAAGTAATAGTTTAAGAACCGCCATTCCCAAGCCAATTTAAAAAGAGAAAGAGGGAAATCGAAGAGAAAGAGATACTAGACACATTTTGTAAAGTTCAGTTAAACATCCCTTTATTAGATGCAACTAGACAAGTGCCTAGGTATGTTATGTTTTTTAAAGAGCTTTGTACTAATAAAAGGAAGTTAAAGGGAATGAAAAGATAAGCATGAGTCAAAATACATCCGCTGTTCTACAAAAGCGGTTACCATCAAAGTATAACGACCCGAGCATGTTTACCGTACCATGTAAGGTAGGCAATGTCTCTGTCAATCAAGCCATGTTGGACTTAGGGGAATCAATCAATGTTATGCTATATGCCATTTACTCATTTTTGGATGTAGGGCCTTAAAACCAACTAGGTCGTAATCCAATTAGCGGATAGGTCTACAGTCTACCCTAAAGGGGTGCTAGAGGATGTACTCGTTCAAGTGAATGAGTTGGTCTTCCCTGTAGATTTTTATATTATAGATATGAAGGAGAATAATACTTCCAAGGCCGGTATGATTTTGCTAGTTAAACCATTTCTGAAAACCTCTAAGACCAAGATAGATGTCCATGATGGCAATTTGACTATGAAATTCGATGGTGAGACGATTAAATTTAATATGATGTTCTGCGATATCCGAGCTTGAAAAAGCTTTCTCAAGATCCCTATCTTTCCAGGCCATTAAACATATCAAAAATGAAAAACCGAATTTTCAAATATTAATTATGACACAATTACAGTTTTTATGACACAATTGTTTTATGATATGAAAATTATACTCTCAAAAATGAAAAATGGAGTTTTCAACTATTAATTATATATTCGTGTAATATGGCATGAACTTTCTAAAATTTTATTGTAAACCAAAAATTGAAAACTAATGCAACGTCATGCTAAAAAGAAAATCCAAAATTTATATTTGAACAAATAAAAATTACAAATGATGGTTGAAAATTCGGTTAAAAGGATATGAGAAAACATATCACTATGATGTCAATGAAAAGTTATAAAGCAGTGGTTTTTTTACCATAATTTCTTTAATCTTAAATATTATTGTCATTTCTATCAATTGTTCTTTCATCATAGCATAGAGCCAAAAAAACCTAGTTGTTATTTTGCCTCATTGTTGGATTATCTCTCCATGTTATTAAGTATCATTGTAACAGTCATTTTATATATAATTATCTATCCCTCTATATATGTAGATGTACAAAATATCATGTTAAATCTTAATCTCTCTTTTTGTATGCTAGAGCTATATCAGTGTGTTGTAAGCTAGGAATCCCAAACTGCAATTAAAACCAACTAGGTTAAATAGTTCATAATATTCCCAATATAACAATGAACAAAGTTCCAGATTTTAAGCAGAAAAGAAAACGATTGTACATAGTAGACGATCATATCATCAACTAGCATATGCAATCAATAAACAAACCCAAGCAATGAAAGTAAAGTAAAGTAAAGCAAATAGCGACTCCAGAGATTTTACATGGAAACCTCCAAAAGGGAAAAACTACGGATGAAGAACATCACTTTGATGAACAACTGATCCATTCTCACTTTGATGATGTTACGCTTGAGAAATACATCAACACGGTGAAGAAAACTATTTGGTTCATCTAGGAGAGAAGCTACAAGTAAAGGATGAATATAAAGAATAAAAGCCCTAAAATCACGCGATTGTGGCAGAGGCACGTCGCAGAAATGGTACCATAGCTCCAAGATAGGATTTGATCATCGGGGCAACAATCTTGTAACACATAGCTTGGTTTTTAAGGTGTTAAAACTCACTTATTGTAGACGGATCGTCATATACTTGTTTGGTATCGTGATATTGGTTTGTTCACATTTGGATTTCTTGATGACTATAGGACCAGTGGCATATACCTTCTCTTTTGAGACCTATAGGATCATTTGTTTGATTATTTATGGTGAGCGTGTGTGTGTGTGTAGGGGTTAGAAATGTAAATATGTGTGTTGATTAACATTAAATCAATATCTACGAAAGTGGGTGGTCCAAATGGGCCAACTTTTAATGACATTTTTGGATTCAATATAAGACGTCATTCCTTGAAAGCAATATATTATTAATATGAAGGCGTCTTTTTGTCGTAATTTCCATCTCCATATATCCACATACTAAAACTCCATCACAAATTGCATATATATATATAACATCATCCTCACCATCTTTAATTATCGTTACAATTCCTAGATTCCATCGTTTTTATACTCACCCATACATACATACATATATATATATATACACACACTACTTGTTATTAGATGAATTAATTAAGAAGAAACATAAATTAAATGATGATGAGTTGATTTAATGTTTCAGTCAATCGATATCTATTTTCAAAAGAAAAGGAAAAGGAAAAAGAAAAAGAAAAAAAAGAAGCAACGAAGAAGACGTTTAAACAAAGCCATTGGACAATCGACATGTTGTGTGATAATTAATCTTGTCTTTTCTGTTTCTGCACATACAAACACCAACCAAATATATATATATATATATATATATATTGAGATTGGTTCTCACAGTTACCACAAACAATTCAGTTCTCATTTGATTAAGCCCCTATATATATATATATATATATATCCATAATTATATCAATTCATCATTTTTTAATCCAATTAAACAAAATACTATCAATTACTTATACATGTTGTGTAAAATGACAGTTAAGATATATAGGAAGAAAGTCTTGTACCAAAAACTTATTTGACGACCATCGCTCTTTTACATTATTGAGCATCCTTGCGGATTTTCGTAATTATCACTAGTCATGTTATTGTTTTGATTATACCCATAATCATATGATCCATATCCACATGGTTGTAGTGGCATTCCATACCCATGACCCTTAAATGGGGCTCCGCCACCATAATTACCATCGTAGGATTCGTACCCATATCTATATCCAACTACAGGGTTAGTTGGTGGGTACATTATTTGTGGATACCCATGAACCGGTGGTTCAAACATCATTTTCTTGGCCACTTGGGGTTTCTTGGAATCTCCGTCTCCTTTATGATCAACAGCTGCTGTTCTGGGCTTGTTAGCGGCTTTGGTATCGGCTGGAGCTGGTTTTGGCTTATGATCAGAATTAGGGTGTTTGGGCTTTTCAACAATTATTTCAATCTTGAGAATGGAGGTTCCACCCTTGCGGCTAAGTTTGTCTCGGATCATGTCTGGACAACAACTTATTACGCTAATCTTGACCTTGTTTTTGCCAATATCATATTCTTGGTCCCTTATTTCTATAGACAAACAATTAATTAATTAATTAATTAATTATTCAAATATATATATATATATATATATATATATATGTAGTTAATTGAAAAGAATTAAGATATATGGAATACTAACCGGGTATTTTACACATGACCTTCTTAACCTTCTTGTAGCAGTCAGAGCAGCTGAGATCAACATCCACCACCATTTTCGTTATCTTTTGTTTGTTTAGATATATAAATATATAATGGTGTTAGATTATGATGAATTCATTCGTAAACACAAATTAAATGTATGATTGCATGATGAATTGAAATGGAAATTAGAAAGGAAATGGGACATACCTTGTCCTTGTGAGAAGCCATTGTTGGAGCAGATATCAACATCTGTTGTGTGGAGAAGGAGAAGGAGAAGAAGCAATTATAGTGTATTTAAAGCAAGCTACCACCATATACACTTGCTCACCACCAACCAACGGAAGGATCCATGAAATGTCATATATTACATTACATTACATTAAATTGTGGTGGTTTTAGAGGTGTATTCAGTGCATAAATAATGAATGGAAATGAATGACTTGTTATATACAAAACAAGAGTGGAATGGAATCCTTCCATGTTACTTTACAACTCAACTCATGTTTCAAATCTTTAACATTAATTTGTTAAGTTGATTACCATATTCTCTCTCTCCAAAAATAAGTGACACACCCACACCCATGCATATTTATTACACTTAAATGACAACTTATTAATTTCTCACTCTTAAATATTTATGCATAAATGAAAGGTCAATTTGAGGATTTAGTTTTAAAACTGCACATTTATAAATAGAATTGTGGATACTTATTTTGAGATGGATGCTTACTATAATTACTTGTCCAATATAACGAGCTGCAAATATTTCTTGAACAAGAAATTAACACAATTTAATTTCACATCATATTTTCTTGTAAATCGAGAATATAAGAAAAAGAATTTCACATTCTCATCCCAAATTCTCAAAAAATGGAAAAAGCATGAGAGAGAGAAAGAGAGAGAGTGTGTGTGTTAGAGATTCTCTAGAATTGATTATCATAAGAGAGAAATATATATATATATATATATATATAGTCTTGCCAATAAATGTTTTAAATTTAAATGTTTATGTGAGAAATAATATAATCTCTAAAATAACTTGTTCGAGTTGAATGTAACTTTTTGATTCTTTATTTTTTTTTTGAGAAATATGAGTGTAGAGGTGGGGGGTTAAGAAATAAGAATATTATTATGTTTGTTACTAATTAGTTTTAAAAAATTGTATATGTGCAATAATTACTTAAAAATTGAAAAACTATATTTAATATATAATAAATTAACAAAAGATGAGGAATATATATAAAAAAAAAAATACATATGAGCAATATATAAAAAAATACATATGATATAAAAAGGTGAGTCATTAAGGATGAGGAGGCCCAACCCAAGAAAGTTTGGGTTTGAAGTGAAGTATTACTAATTACATAACCCATTCATTATAAATTATAATTATAAAAGAAAAAGAAAAAGAAAAAGACTTAGAGTAGAAGTAGAAGTAGAAGTAGATAATGATATATGTTTGTAAAACAATTCAGATTGCTTTTCTAATTCATTCATTTTTAATACACATTAATTGTCATTAGCTTGGAATTGGATCAATCAAAGCATACTTTTATTTTGCTACCTACAATATAACAAAGAACACCACCTTCTATTATTAATTACATTTATCCACATGCAATCATCACCTTAATTTCTATTTAATGTTTTCTTTTGGATTTTTCACAAACTTATACCAAGATTTAATTTTAGATTTATCATGTTATCACAACAATTATCAATTATATCTTATCTAAACCATAATCATATATATTATTATAATATATGCATAAAAATGCAACATATCTCATTATTAATACAATTGATATATTATGAAAATGATTATGGTTCATCTATCATGATTCGGATATTATGGAAAATAATTATAGTTCATTAATCATAATCAACGTTTTATATTTATAAACGATCAACATATTTATTCAACTACATATTCATTAGATTAAATCAATGGTTCATATTGGATTGCAATGCTTGTACAAATAGAATTGAGATATATATATTATATAATAATAGACCACCTATATATATATACATATACATATACATATACATATACATATACATATACATATACATATACATATACATATACATATACATATACATATACAT